AAGCTCTAAAAGAGGAAATCGACAGTAACACAATAATAGTGGGGGACCTTTAACACCTCACTTACACCAATGGACAGACCATCCAAACAGAAAATTCATAAGGAAACATAAGCTTTAAATAACACAATACACCAGATAGATTTAATTGATATTTATAGGACATTCCATCCAAAAACAGCAGATTATACTTTCTTCTCAAGTGCGCACAGAACATTCTACAGGATAGATCACATCTTAGGTCACAAATAAAGCCTCAGTAAATTTAAGGAAATTGAAATCATATCAAGAATCTTTTCTGACCACGATGCTATGAGATTAGAAATGAATTACAGGGGAAAAAACGTAAAAAACACAAACACATGGAGGCTAAACAATACGCTACTAAATAACGAAGAGATCACTGAGGAAAGCAAAGAGGAAATCAGAAAATACCTAGAGACAAATGACAATGAAAACACGACGATCCAAAACCTATGGGATGTAGCAAAAGCAGTTCTAAGAGGGAAGTTTATAACTATACAAGCCTACCTCAAGAAACAAGAAAAATCTCAACTAAACAATCTAACCTTACACCTAAAGGAACTAGAGAAAGAAGGACAAACCAAACCCAAAGTTAGCAGAAGGAAAGAAATCATAAAGATTAGAGCAGAAATAAATGAAACAGAAACAAAGAAAACAATAGCAAAGATCAATAAAACTAAAAGCTGGTTCTTCGAGAAGAGAAACAAAACTGATAAACCATTAGCCAGAGTCATCAAGAAAAAGGGGGAGAGGACTCAAATCAATAAAATTAGAAATAAAAAAGGAAAAGTTACAACAGACACCACAGAAATACAAGGCATCCTAAGAGACTACTACAAGCAACTCTATGCCAATAAAATGGACAACCTGGAAGAAATGGACAAATTCTTAGAAAGGTGTAACCGTCCCAGAACGAACCAGGAAGAAATAGGAAATATGAACAGACCAATCACAAGTAATGAAATTGAAACTGTGATTAAAAATCTTCCAACAAACAAAAGGCCAGGACCAGATGGCTTCACAGGTGAATTCTATCAAACATTTAGAGAAGAGCTAACACCCATCCTTCTCAAACTCTTCCAAAAAATTGCACAGGAAGGAACACTCCCAAACTCATTCTATGAGGTCACCATCGCCCTGATACCAAAACCAGACAAAGATACTACAAAAGAAGAAAATTACAGACCAATATCACTGATGAACATAGATGCAAAAATCCACAACAAAATACTAGCAAACGGAATCCAACAACACATTAAAAGGATCATACACCATGATCAAGTGGGATTTATCCCAGGGATGCAAGGATTTTTCAATATACGCAAATCAATCGATGTGATACACCATATTAACAAATTGAAGAATAAAAACCATATGATCATCTCAATAGATACAGAAAAAACTTTTGACAAAATTCAACACCCATTTATGATAAAAACTCTCCAGAAAGTGGGCACAGAGGCAATCTACCTCAACATAATAAAGGCCATATACAAACAACCCACAGCAAACATCATTCTCAATGGTGAAAAACTGAAAGCATTTCCTCTAAGATCAGGAGCAAGACAAGGATGTCCACTCTCACCATAATTTTTCAACAACGTTTTGGAAGTCCTAGTCACGGCAATCAGAGAAGAAAAAGAAATAAAAGGAATACAAATTGGAAAAGAAGAAGTAAAACTGTCACTACTTGCAGATGACATGATACTATACACAGAGAGTTCTAAAAATGTCACCAGAAAACTACTAGAGCTAATCAATGAATTTGGTAAAGTTGCAGGATACAAAATTAATGCACAGAAATCTTTTGCATTCCTATACACTAATGATGAAAAATCTGAAAGAGAAATTCAGGAAACGCTCTCATTTACCATTGCAACAAAAAGAATAAAGTACCTAGAAATTGTAGGTATTTTACCTACCTTTTGTCTCTCTAGGTAGGTCTTTTGTCTCCTTACTTAGGGACACAAAAGACCTGTATGCAGAAAACAATAAGACACTGATGAAAGAAATTAAAGATGATACCAACAGATGGAGAGATATACCATGTTTTTGGATTGGAAGAACCAATACTGTGAAAATGACTATACTACCCAAAGCAATCCACAGATTCAATGCAATTGCTATCAAATTACCAATGGCATTTCTTTTGGAACTAGAACAAATCATCTTAAAATTTGTATGGAGACACAAAAGACCCCGAATAGCCAAAGCAGTCTTGAGGGAAAAAAACGGAGCTGGAGGAATCAGACTCCCTGACTTCAGACTATACTACAAAGATACAGTAATCGAGACAATGTGGTACTGGCACAAAAACAGAAACATAGATCAATGCAACAAGATAAAAAGCCCAGAGATAAACCCACACACCTATGGTCAACTAATCTGTGACAAAGGAGGCAAAGATATACAATGGAGAAAAGACAGTCTCTTCAATAAGTGGTGCTGGGAAAACTGGACCGCTACATGTAAAAGAATGAAATTAGAACACTCCCTGACACCATACACAAAAATAAACTCAAAATGGATTAGAGATCTAAATGCAAAAGACCTGACACTATAAAACTCTTAGAGGAAAACACAGGAAGAACACTCTGACATAAATCACAGCAAGATCTTTTTTGATCCACCTCCTAGAGTAATGGAAATAAAAACAAAAATAAACAAATGGGACCTAATGAAACGTCAAAGCTTTTGCACAGCAAAGGAAACCATAAACAAGACGAAAAGACAACCCTCAGAATGGGAGAAAATATTTGCAAATGAATCAACAGACAACGGATTAATCTCCAAAATATATAAACAGCTCATGCAGCTCAATATTAAAGAAACAAACAACCCAATCCAAAAATGGGCAGAAGACCTAAACAGACATTTCTCCAAAGAAGACATACAGATGGCCAAGAGGCACATGAAAAGCTGCTCAACATCACTAATTATTAGAGAAATGCAAATCAAAACTACAATGAGGTATCACCTCACACCAGTTAGAATGGACATCATCAGAAAATCTACAAACAACAAATGCTGGAGAGGGTGTGGAGAAAAAGGAAGCCTCTTACACTGTTGGTGGGGATATAAATTGATACAGCCACTATGGAGAACAGTATGGAGGTTCCTTAAAAAACTAAGAATAGAAGTATCATGTGATCCAGCAATCCCACTACTGGGCATATATCCAGAGAAAACCATAATTCAGAAAGACACATGCACCCCAATGTTCATTGCAGCGCTATTTACAATAGCCAGGTCATGGAAGCAAGCTAAATGCCCATCGACAGATGAATGGATGAAGAAGTTGTGGTACATATATACAATGGAATATTACTCAGCCATAAAAAGGTACGAAATTGAGTCATCTGTTGACATGTGGATGGATCTAGAGACTGTCAGACAGAGTAAAGTAAGTCAGAAAGAGAAAAACAAATATTGTATATTAACGCATGTATGTGTAACCTAGAAAAATGGTACAGATGAGCCGGTTTGCAGGGCAGAAGTTGAGACACAGTTGTAGAGAACAAACGTACGGACACCAAGGGGGGAAAACCACAGGTGGGGTGGGGATGGTGGTGTGCTGAACTGGGCCATTGGAATTGACATGTATACACTTATGTGTATAAAATTGATGACTAATAAGAACCTGCTGTATAAAAAAACAAAGAAACAAACAAAAAAATACTATCACAGAAATAGTATTTTCAGTAGTTCAAAGTATTTCCTGAGTACCTATCAGTGCAAGACACTGTTCTGGAACCTGGGAATATAATAGTTTGTAAGAAAAACAAGGCCCTGCCTTCAAAAAGCTTATAAATGCAAACAAATGATTAAGTAAGATAATTTCAGATAGTGATTTATGCTATTAACAAAATTATTATAAGGTAAAATATCTGTTCAATGAACAAACAGGGTAATCGTGTTAGGGATGGAGGAAAATGTAACTGAAAAAGGATGAAGGCTTTCAGTGCACTGGAGAATATACAGAAACATTACCTGTCTTAATAGATATTGAGTACCCACTTTTAGTGATATTATTTATATCTTGAACCTGAAATATTTCATATTATACTGACTGGAAACATGGCATAGTGGTTAAAAGCATGGCCTTGCCTCCAGAGCTTGACAGCCTAGATTATTTGATCTTTCTCCCCTCACTTTCCACATCTGCAAATCAGGGATAATAACAGCAACCATCTCATAGAATTGTTTTTGAGGACTGTATGAGCTTAAAAATGTCAAGTGCTCATATAGCAGCTGTTTAAAAATTATATTAGGGACACCTATTATTTCTATAAAGTCACTATAACCTTTTGACTATGATAAATAGATCCCTCTGTCAGAAAGTGAAAGTGGGTGAGGCCAAGGTAATGGGATAGAATGTGACTGAGGGCAGTAGGAGGCTATTTTAGCTGAGACAGGCTCCAGGAACGCCTCCAGAAAGGGGTGATAGCTACACAGAGTTAAACCCTAGGAAGTCAGTCATGCTAAGATCTAGGGAAGGAACAGCTAAGTTTTCTAAGGTGACAATAAAAAATTGAAAAAAATTTACAATGGATAAAATGAAAACTGTAGATTATAAATGTCAAGTAAAATATTATCAGTTTGCTTAAGATATATATACACATTTTATTTATATGTATAAAAACAAATACTTAGATTTATAAAGCCATATTTTATTATTTCTTTAACCTGTTTTCCATTGGTTTTGGTCTTTGGTATGAATAACTATTACACTATTATGACTATTATTGTTCTAAAATGTTATTTATTAACAAGGCCAAGGATACTGATTTATCCCCAGAGAGCCAGTCAGCTTTGCTGTGGTCTAATGTGACAATCACACTTGTCACTGTATCAACAGTGGTAAGATCTACCACTGCCTTAAAAGCCAGTAAACAGAACAGGCATGACACAATAATCACATCACTGTACACATGCATCACTGTACATCGTTACAAACTGAGTGGCATGGGTTTCCTTACCTTGGGCCATTGCTGTCTTTTCTCCTCGTTGAACAGTTGCCTTGCTCAGCTCTGGCTCGCTGATCTGTGAAATCATTTGTGTTCCTATCTACAATCTCTCCAGCATCAAGTGCTCTATGGAGTCGATAGTTGACCATCTTCAGAACAATGAAAACAGCAGCTATCACAGGACAATAGACTGCTACTATAATCATGGAAGAAGGAAGGGCCTTAAAGAGAAAGAAAATAAAGATAGGAATTTTTAAATATCTTATACTTTATTCAATGAGAGAAACCTGTAACTAAAATAATAAACACACACATTCTCACACAAAGCAACAACTGTGTTCCTAGCACTAAGTTGTAAAAGTATAAGACAGCACCACCCAATACAGTAGCCACTTGCTACGTGTGGCTATTGAGTGCTTGAAATGTGGTTAGCCTGAGTTGAGATGTGCACTAAGAATAAAATAACACTAGATTTTGAAAATTCAGTATGAAAAGAAGAACGCAAAATATCTCAATTTTTATACTGATTACACGTTGAAATATATTTAGATTATATTGGGTTAAATAAAATATATTATTAAAGTTAATTTCATCTGTTACTTTTATTTTTAATGTAGCTACTAGAAAAGTTTTAAATTACATATGTGGCTTACAATATATGTCCACTGGACAGCACTGTTACAAAGTCCATGCCAGAAAGCTTATAATACAAGTAGAGAGTTAAGGTATCACATTATATAATATGTGAATAAGACAGGGTTGTGATCCAAATACATATAATCTCTGTTTATGTGCTCCCTGTAACTTTTTTTTAGGATATAAACTTTGTGTTCTAGAAAATCCCAAGCTAAAACTTATGAGAATAACCTCAGAGCTATGACTATAAAACCAGATAAGACATGGGGGACATTCAAAATCCAAATGTTTTATTTTAAAATACTTAAATGCTTAAAATACTGAAAAATTGTAACCTGCCAAATAAAACGAATAAAAGAATACAGAATAGAATCAAGCAATAAATAGATTTATTGAAATAAGTCAGAAGCATCCTGGGCGTGGGGACTGCACAGCCATCATACCTGAGAATTCAGTGATGTGGACGTTGAGTCCGGGGATGGCAGGCTGGAGAACAGCCCACTTGGAAGGCATGACTCAGAGTCACTGTTAGGAAAGCCTATAAAACTAGGCTCAAGTTATGCCCCTTTTCATGAGAAAAAAATCATCCCAGGTGTTTACAGCTCTAGATTTCACATGTTTTCATAAGGTTCCACCTCAGTAATCTGAGAACATGGCTCTAAATTTACTTGGAAAGATATCCTCAAATCGCTTGAGAAGGTGAAATTGAAAAGGTTCTAATGAACCAGGGAGGTTTCAAAGACAGATATGATAAAAGTTTAAAAAATAAGACAGTTATTTGGGAGGTAGAGAGAGGGAAACAGTGTGGGTTGGAACTGGGAGGCGGGAAAAGAAAGTAAATCAAGCCTAAAGTTTAATACTTTTGGGTTGAGTGCAGGCATAATAGGTAAATATTTGGTATTTTAATTTTTTAATTTTTTAATTTTATTTATTTTTGGCTGCGTTGGGTCTTCATTGCTGCAACTTTCTCTAGTTGCGGCGAGCGGGGCCTACTCTTCATTGCGGTGCACGGGCTTCTCACTGTGGTGGCTTCTCTTGTTGCGGAGCACAGGCTCTAGGCGCACAGACTTCAGTAGTTGTGGTTCGCGGGTTCTAGAGCACAAGCTCAGTAGTTGCGACACACGGGCTTAGCTGCTCCGCGACATGTGGGATCTTCCCAGACCAGGGATCGAACCTGTGCCTCCTGAATTGGCAGGTGGATGCTTAACCACTGCACCACCAGGGAAGTCCTATTTGGTATTTTTAAATGCTTAGATTAAGAAGCCCTTCATATTAGTGTATCTAAAAAATTACACTGGTGATTTCAATTTAAAATGTCATTGAATAGCAGATCTAGGCTTATAAAATGTATTTAAAATCTTACAAAATCCATAAATATCAGGTTTAGAAGAGTTAAGTACTCCAAAAGGTTTGTTAGATAATTTACGTAATTTACTTAAAATTTATAAATGCAATTTAAATTCAAGGGATCTTAAGCTACATGAAAAAACCGAATCTCTTAAAAATGATTGTTAAAATGTGTTCAATTTTTAAAGAGTTGAGTTTAAAATTCTAAGTTAATTTATAGCTTTAATAAATATAACATTCATTGCAAAAAAAAAAAAAGTTCCCTGAAAAACTTTTTCCAAACAGAAACACACACACACAAATTGACAAAAATTTCAGAGTAAACATGCACATAAATACATACAAACACATGCACTGCTTAGAATATTTATAGAAGTTCTGCATGATGCTGATTTCCATATGATATGTTCACTTAAGAACTGGAATTCTTGGAGATCATTTAGTTCAACACCCTCATTTCCAGACTAAAAACAGAGCTACTGTATGATCCAGCAATCCCACTCCTTAGCATATATCTGAAGAAAACCATAGTTCAGAAAAATACATGCACCTCAATGTTCACTGCATCACTGTTTACAACAGCCAAGACATGGAAGCAACCTAAATGTCCATCGACAGATGAATGGATAAAGATGTGGTACATATATACAAGTAATATTGTACATATATACAGTATTACTCAGCCGTTTAAAAGAATGAAATAATACCGTTTGCAGCAACAGGGGGGACCTGGAGATTATCATACTAAGTGAAGTCAGACAGAGAAAGACAAATATCATATGATATCACTTATATGCTGAATCTAAAAAAAAAAATGATACAAATGAACTTACTTACAAAACAGAAACAAACTCACAGACTTAGAAAACAAATTTATGGTTACCGGGGGGAAGAGTCGGGTGGAGGGATAGATTGGGAGTTTGGGATTGACATGTACACACTGCTGTATTTAAAATAAAATGACTTTCCATGAAATTAATTAATTATTTTAAAAACATGTATCACTGTATATAGCAATATGTATATATTTATATATGTATGTGTATATATATTATATTATATAAAGAATAAATATAAAGAATTCCTTCAAAATCAATAACAAAGAGGCAGACCAATGAAAATAAAGGACAACAGACAGAACTTACACAGAAAAATATAAACAGCCAATAAAAACAACATGAAAACATGTTCAACTTCATCAGTAATGAGCAAAATACAATGTAAAACCTCAACATTATATCATTAACACCCATCTTAATGAACAAAAATTAAGAAATCAGACAAAATTAAGTATGGACAACCAGACCTCTTGTAAACTGCTAGTAGAAATATAAATTGATAGATACATCACCCAAGATCCAGCAATTTCTCTCATAAGCATAAAAATGAAAGAAACTCTTACACTCGCAGCATAAGACTTTTACCAAAAACTGGGGGTGGGGGGGGGACCTCAATTGAAAATCAAAAGGAAAATGGAAAACGGCAGACTAGTTACCAATGGAATATAACAGTAAAAACTACAGCTACAGGCAGCAACATTAACTGTACATATACAATGTGTTGTATTCCAAATGTAAACCTACGTTTTACTGTATTTTCTTGATTTTTTGGTAATAAGCATGTATTTCTTTTATAGTTAGAAAAGAGAGCTAAAATTTTAATAGTGATAAAAAGGTTTTCATATTAGAAAAAGAGTATATTAGCTTTCATCTTTTACAAAGACATGATCTATATTCTTCTCATTAATGGATGCCTTATCAATAGGTCAAGTTCCACATCAAGGCCGTTTGTCACCTTATTTGCAAGAAGTTAAAAAAAAATCTTAATTCTCAATTATACATCCCTGAATGGCAGGAAGTGTTAACAGCTGTCAGAGAGCTCTAGATATTCAGATCAAACATAGCCCCCAAAATTGTAGTAAGCCTCCTTACTAAGAACTATGTTAGATACTTTACATAAGATCAATCCTCTTAGAAGTTGGATGAATAGAAATGTAAATGAAAACTACAATTAAATATTACCACATACCCATTAGGATGGCTACTATCAATTAACCAGAAAAAAAAAAAAAGACAGAAAATAACAAGTGTTGGCATCGGTGTGGAGAAATTGGAACCTCTGTACGCTGTTGGTGGGACAGTAAAATGATGCAGCCTCTATGAAAACAGTATGGTGGTTCCTCAAAAATATTAAAAATAGAATTACCATATGATCTAGCAATTCCACTTCTGGGTATTTATTCCAAAGAATAAATCGAATCTTGAATAAACTGCAGGATCTCGAAAAGATATCTGGACAGTCATGTACACAGCAGCATTATGCACAATAGCCAAGAGATGGAAGCAATGCAGTGTCTATGAATGGACGAATAGATAAACAAAATGTGGTCTATATGTATGATGCATTATTCAACATTAAAAGGAATGAACTCTTTTTTTTTTTTCTTTTTCTTTTTTCTTTTTTTGCAGTACGCGGGCCTCTCACTGTTGTGGCCTCTCCCGTTGCAGAGCGCAGGCTCAGCGGCCCTGGCTCACGGACCCAGCCGCTCCGCGGCATGTGGGATCTTCCCGGACCAGGGCACGAACCCGTGTCCCCTGCATCGGCAGGCGGACTCTCAACCACTGCGCCACCAGGGAAGCCCAAAAGGAATGAACTCTTGTCGCATGCTGCTGCACGGATGAACCTTGAGAACAGTATGCTAAGTGAAATAAGCCAGTAACAAAAAGGCAAAATACTGGATGATTCCACTTATATGAGGTATCTAAAGTAGTCAAATTCATAGAAATAGAAAGCAGAATGATGGTTGCCATGGGCTGGTGGGAGAGATAGTGAAGAGTTGTTGTTTAATGGGTGTAGAGTTTCAGTTTTGCAGAATGAAAAGGTCCTGGAAATGCATTCCACAACAATGTAAATATACTTAACACTACTGAACAAAACACTTAAAAATGTGTTAAAATGGTAAATTTTATGTTACGTGTTTTTTACTACAATTTAAAAAGTTAGACGGACAAATGTTTCACTCTTTTCTCTCTGGTGAGGAAAGTCAAATGTTGAGAAACAAGCTAGGAGACTGAGCCATTTACACCACTTCTTAAATTCTGACAGTTTATCCTGAACGTTAAAAAGTTGTGTTATTTCAGCCAGGAATGATAGGTTCAAGCTATTCAAGACGCCAAATATATTTCTGATAGGACTCTTGAGAAAGCCACTCGGAATCACAGAAATGGTCATACCGGAA